GGTAACAAAAGGAGAAAGTCTTGTCTTTTTCTTGCAACTTTTATTTCACTCTCTCCGACTAGCTGAGGAATCATGCGACCTGACGCTCTAAATTTTTTTCCTGGCACCAGGTTTTAATAAATGTCTCTTCCAAATACATACCACGGAAAGAACAATTGTACCTTCCCATAAGATTGGATTTTTGAAGCTCTAGGTACTGAAATTTCCGCCATCTTCTCTCTGTTCCATATATGGCAAGTGAAAGTGGTGTGAAGAAATCCCATATGAACAGAAAACCATGGTATATGTTTTTAAATTATATTTATATATATATGTATGTATAAATATACATATACGAACTGAAGGGAAGGGTAGGGTAGGGAAGGGAAGGGTAGGGATGGTAAGGGAAGGGAAGGGAAGGGAAGGGAGGAAGGAAGAAAGAAAGAAAGAAAGAAAGAAAGAAAGAAAGAAAGAAAGAAAGTCACCCTTCCCTTAGCCCCAAGTGATCACCTCCTGGACCCATAGGCCCAGCTCACAGCCATGTTTTCAGATATGATGATGACGATGATGGGGAGGACCATCCAGTAATCACTCAGCAGTTTGATGTAATAGACGCCTGCAGGTTGAATGAAGAAGAGGCCACACAGGAACATGAGTCCAAAGAGAACCACTGGAGGAAACATTGAACTTGGATCAAGGTCAGAGGTCTGGCTGGCGGCGGGGGGTCGGGGGAGGGTTAAGCAGAAGTTATTATCAGGGCTGGATTAGAGTCTCAGTGCAACCAGGGTCATTGGTGGGAGTAGGGCCATAGGTCTGAGTACCTGTCAATAGCTTTTCATGTTTCTTGCAAAAAGGAAAGGTGTCCTGGAGTGGAGTCATGACACCTTGCAGGAGCCCTATCATGAAACCCATCTCCAGGAGCAGCAACAGCAGGAAGAAGAGGATGGACCAGAACACAGACCCAGAAATGAATGACATGGCTTCAATGAAGGCCAGGAATGCAAAGCTTAGGCCCTCCTTAACCTGTTAAGGGGAGAAAAGGCAGGAGTGAAAGTGTCCTTGGACTTAAGCACAATACAGATCCAGATACGTTCTACCTTCCCTGGAAAAGTTCCCCAAAGTCTCGGGTCACTGTCAAACTCGGATCTCCACGCTGACCCTCTGACAAGGAAAACCCATCCGCCTAGCATTATCCAGGGGAGGGCATTCTGCAAGCTCTATTTCTCTGCATTATCAGGGCTGCAGGTTATCCTGGTGTCTCTGGGATTTTTTTTTCTGGTGCTAATAAAAGATGAGATTTCTGTTTTACAGAAGGCATTAAGGAACTCTCAGCCCAGTGCACGTAGTTTTACTGACCTTCAAAAACTGCTGCTCTAAGTTGCACTCAGTAATGTGGGAGAGGACCAGGTTCTTGATGGGCTGGGAAAGACTGTTGAGCCAGGAGGTGAAGATGACGTCTGGATCATCTGGTATGTTTAGAGGGGGCAGGGCCTCAGGAGGCAGTTTCCCCTGGACTACCAGCTTCAAAAGCAATTCAGCATTCCTGGGGACAAGAAGTTGAATCTCATAGAACCATCTGGCTCCTTCACTTCCAGAGAAGAAAGGACATCTCGAGCCTAGCATTACTGATCTGAATAAGGTACAGCCTGGGAGGAAACTGAAAAGGCACCCACCTTCAGGGTCATGAACTTGTGTGAACCAGAAGTCTTTCCTATAATCTGCTGGGGACTCCGGGGTCCCTGCTCTAGTGATGAAGTCTCCTATTCATCCCCACCTCTGCCCTTCCTCCCGTTTTAGACTAGTAGGCAAAAGTCAACCTTCTAAGCTTTGCATACTGAATATCAGGAAGTACCATGTACTTCGATGACAGTGCATAGCTCACGGAGTTGAGCTATGAGAAACTTCTTAGTCTTTTTCATCTGAGCTCTGCTGGCCTCTCTCACCTTCTCTTTCCCCCACGGCCCTCTGCACATTTTATGCTGTGGTCAGATTGAACTACTTACAGTTTCAGGGCCTGCCATAGCCTCTCATGCCCAAGACCAGCCCCACCCCCGCCACCATTCTTCACTTGGTTAATTCCTACAAATCCTTAAAAATCAGCTCATTGCTGCAATGGAAGGCTTGCGTAGGCTTACTGATAAGAGCAAAATGCAAGCTGCAGGAAAATAAGTATAGTTTGATCAAATTTTATCAACTAAAATACTGTATGTTCTTCTGGTGGCCATTTGCACAGGTTAGGATCCCTAGGGACAAATTCAGCTTAGGTTTGCCTCCTCTAGAAGTCCTTCCCTGACTAGCCTGGGCCTAGTTCATGGCTTTGTCTTCTGTCTCCCCATCACTCCTGCTACCAGTTATCATGACTTTGTGACTGTGATTAAGTATCGAAATCCCTTCCCTTCGTCCCTCCAAAGCTGAAAACACAACGAAGGCAAGGACTGTGGTCTGAGCCACCTGCCCAACGATGTGCAGCACCCAGCGTACTTTCTAAATGCCTGAGGGATAGTTTTGATTCATGCCCACAGACAAGAACAGGCTGAGAAGACAATACAGGCTCTAGTCCTGAGCGTCCTGGTGGGGCTTAAGTATGACAGACTGACTGACACCCCTAAATTCGGGAGCAGAAGGGTGTTCCGAAGGGTGTGGTCTTAGAGGCTGTCTGAGACCTTGACTGTTTGCCACTTTTCGAATTTCTCTGTTGAAATACGCTGAGGTGAGCAATTGGCAATCTCTGACGTGGAAGATTTCCAGGGCTAGAAAGGGGCTCTGAGAAGGACAACATGTGACGGGGATTCTCTTGTCTCCGTTTTTCATTCTAGGAGAGAGCAGAGGCTTGCAAGGGCGCCTGTGTGAAGGCGGGTCTTTGCAGCAGCACCTGTAAGATTAGGGTCTCTGGGTTTTGTAGTTCCCTAAGGCTGACACTCTCAACTAAGGGGCTGGCCTTACTTCTCAATGCAGCTGTGTATGAGGACAGTGGCCCAGAAGCCCAGCACACTGAGGACAAAAGTCATGGCAAGTATCGAGAAGCCCAGGTTGATGAAAGCCACAACGAACGCGTCACTGAGACAGTTGTTGGGCTGGTCCATGTACGAGGAGTAAATGACAACGGGGCCAAAGCCGAGACCTAAGGCAAACAAGACTTGGATCCCTGCTTGGATCCACGCAGTTATGCTGTACATAGCCGATACCTATCAGGGAAAAGAGAAGAATAAGGAGAGATGTCAAAGAGGAGGAGAACCTTAACAAAATGCAGGGGCTACAAAGGGAGGCAGTGGGGAAAGGACACTGAGAGCAGACAACAGGTGTCCTCGAAGGTCTGAGAGGGAAGTGAAGAAGACATACCTTCATAACCGTCAAACGCTGAAGCCCGTATCGTGCCCCGGTCAGCAGTACACTCCGGATGAGTAAAGAGATTGTGATGACACCAGCCAATGGTACCAAGACACATAGTACCTGAATTCAGGGGAGGGCCTATCAGCAACCATGTACCCGTGGGGGGGGGGAGGGTCAATCAACAGTCAGCAGGGATAAAACATTCTGAGCCAGAAATGAGGAGTTAGAAGATAGCTTTCAGCAGGGTTCAGGGGCTAAGTGGGAGTGAAAGGACAGAGGGAGTGGGAAATCAGAAGATCGATGAGTAAGGAATGTTCGGTGAGGGCTCAAGTATCTGAGACTGTTACGGGATCCGAAAGTGCAGACTCACCTTCCCGGTGGACTTGATCCCATTCATCATGAAAATGCCAACAAGACACCAAGCCGTCAAAAGGGGCAGGAGCAGAGAGATGACTGGTGGCCCATGCTCCTCAATGCTGTCTGAGGCCTTCAAGGTCAGCCGGTACCAGAAGTACATGGAGGGCGTTGTCCGTGCACATTCAGGATCTGGGGGTATCTGGCTTTGGACTCCCTTGCTAGACAGGGTGACCGTTCCCCTCTTCATTCACCCTTCCCCCACACCCCCTTCCTCTCCTTTCTTCTTTCTTCCTACTACCTGCCTCTTCTTTATCCCTCCTCACTCCTTTCTCCTCTTCCACATTCCCTTCCACCTCTCTGTGTCCCCTTTCTCTTTCTCTCTCACTTCCTCCTCACCGAAGCCACTGGAGTTCTTCAGGAGAGGACAGCGCTCCCACGGAACGGAAAACTGGAAGGACTGGCCCAGGTAGAAGAGGATCCAGCCATTGGCCACGTTCAAGTACAAGGCGGTGATGAAGCACACCTGTGGGGCCAGGAAGGCGGTGGCTGGGGAGGAAAAGTGGGGACGGGAAAAAGGGAGGGATTTGACAGAGGATTGAGGAACCGAAGGGACTTGGCCCATGGAAGTGAAATCAGGGGACTCATTCCAGGACAAGGGTAGGGATGGGGGTGGGATGTAAAGGGTCGGCCTGGGCAGCCAGGGCTCCTCACCATTAGGCTGCTATATCCCACACTAACAAACCAGGGGCCCATGACAGTCCATGCACAAATGCTGCACTGGCGCATCCTCCGACCGACTGCCATCTCCAGGAAGAGGAGAGGAATCCCCATCAAGAACAGCAAGAAGATGTAGATGATGAAAAAACTCCCTGTGCAGGGGATTTAAGGAAGGGCTCTGAGAATCATCTGGCTTTTCAGCGTTTGGATTTCTTTGGGAGTCCAGAAAGAGACATTCCCTACCGGTGATCTCCCTCAGGGCCACAGGCATCAAGATGTAACTATTTCCACGTCCCTTAAAGTCCCAGATGTCCAGCCCCTGGCCCCCCAATTCCTGGAAGACCCAGATACATAGGTTCCACCCCAACCCTGATACAGGCTTCTAGCCCCACCATGATGTTCGGATATCCTGCAGCTCTACCCCTCTCATCACCCTCGGTGTTCAGACAGCTGGCTCCTCTCCTGCTCAGAGTACCAAGTCTCCAGCCTCTACAGATCCCAGAGACCTTGAAGTTTGAGGCCTGGCTAAGTCTCTGTCTTGCTAACCCTTTGTGGTCCCATGATTCCTGGTCCCCAGACTTACAACCGCCATTGTGAAGCCACAGGTGGGGAAAACGCCAAAGATTGAGTGGCCTCAAGGAGAAGCCCACCAGGGCGAAGATGTACTCAGCCTTGTTGGCCCAGAGTGGACGGGTGGAGACGACCTCGCTCTTTTTCCTCTCTGATACCTCCACCTTCTTAAGTGAGGGTCTCTGTTTCACCGGGGCATCTTCCAGCTCAAATATAGAGGCTTGCCTAAATTGGCTGCTCCTCCTTTTCTCAGCTTCAAAAGCCTGAGTCTCCCAGGCCTCAGCCTCTGCAATTCGGGACGCCAAACTCTGCTTCTCGTGGGGCACCGAAAGCCTGCTCTCTGCGCCCTTGCTTTGCTGAGTGTGGGTACTTGGGGAGCCCTCGACAACGGCTGGATCAGGAGATGAGACTTTCGCCTGTAAAGACTGGGCCTTTGTCTTCACTTCAGGCAGACTCTCCAGAGCAGCTTCCACTTTTCCAAGGGAGGGTCTGCCTTCCTGAGCAGACCTGAAGGACACCAAAAACTAGATTTTAGATTTTGAGTTTCAAAATAATCTTCCACACCTCCTTAAAGAAAACCTTTTATTTATTTTATTTTTTTAAAAATATATTTTATTGATTTTTTACAGAGAGGAAGGGAGAGGGATAGAGAGTTAGAAACATTGATGAGAGAGAAACATCGATCAGCTGCCTCCTGCACACCCCCCACTGGGGATGTGCCCACAACCAAGGTACATGCCCTTGGCCGGAATCGAACCTGGGACCTTTCAGTCCACAGGCCGACACTCTATCCACTGAGCCAAACCAGTTTCGGCAAAGAAAACCTTTTATTTCTGTCCCTACCACCACTGAAATTCAAAGCACAAATCATTCTCTTACGTAAGTTTTACTTTTTAGAAACGCTTTGGTGCACGGGTTAAGAGATAGGAAAGCTAACAATAGTCAGAAATCCCGTTCAAGAAGTTTCTAAAAACACTGACGTGTACTCCCAACAGAGGGAGGTGCCATTTTTAGTGAGCCTTTGAATCAAAGGAACTAATTTAACACTAAATCTGTCTTGTAACCGTAGGAAAATTGTTTTCCCTCTCTGAGCTTTCTCATTGGTAAAACAGCCAGGTCTCTGTTCAAATATCACCTCACCAGAGTGCCTCCCCTGCCCACCTATCTAAAAGAGTAGCCTTGCCGAAACCGGTTTGGCTCAGTGGATAGAGCGTCGGCCTGCGGACTGAAAGGTCCCGGGTTCGATTCCGGTCAAGGGCATGTACCTGGGTTGCGGGTACATCCCCAGTAGGAGATGTGCAGGAGGCAGCTGATTGATGCTTCTCTCTCATCGATGTTTCTAACTCTCTATCTCTCTTCCTTCCTCTCTGTAAAAAATCAATAAAATATATTTTTAAAAAAAAATAAAAAATAAATAAAGAGTAGTCTACCTATCCACCACGCTCTCCGTCCTACCCACTTTTATTTTTCTTCATAGCATTTCTCACCTCCTGATGTGATTAACTCTTGATTGTTAGTCTAGTTATTGTCCATCTCCCCTCTCCTCCCCAACTGCTCTACCCCCAGCAAGAGGATGGTGCTCTACCTCATATTTGGAGCCAGTCTCCTCTCTGCTCTCTGTGCTTCTACCACTCTGACCTTTCCTTGGCTCCTCAAATACTCTACAAGAGAACGGGCCGGGAGCGTGCTGAAAAAGAAAAAAGAACAGGATGCAATGGGTTCACTGATCAAAGTCTAATAAATATTTAAAGAAGAAATTATACAAATTCTCTACAATCTCTTTCAGAGGACAGAAGCAGAGGGAGTACTTCCCAACTCGTTCAACAAGACCAGCATTACCCCAATAGCAAAAACATTACGGAAAAGTGCTGACCAATATCTCTCATTAACAGAGATATAAAAATCCTAAACGAAATATTAGCAAACCTAATCAACAATGTATATAAAGAATGATATACCATTATCAAGTGGGATTTATCCCAAGTATGCAAGATTGGTTCAACATTCAAAAATCAATTAATGGCCGTAACCGGTTTGGCTCAGTGGATAGAGCGTTGGCCTGCGGACTGAAGGGTCCCGGGTTCGGTTCCGGTCAGGGGCATGTACCTTGGTTGCAGGCACATCCCCGGTGGGGGATGTGCAGGAGGCAGCTGGTCGATGTTTCTCTCTCATCGATGTTTCTGACTCTCTATCTCTCTCCCTTCCTCTCTGTAAAAAATCAATAAAATATATTTTTAAAAAAATCAATTAATGTCATCCATCACACCAATGAGCTAAAAAAGAAAAATCAGCCCAGCCAGTGTGGCTCAGTAGTTGAGCATCAACTTATGAACCAGAAGGTCACAGTTCAATTCTTGGTCAGGGCACATGCCAGGATTGCAGGCTCAATTCCCAGTGTGGGGCGTGTGGGAGGCAGCTGATCCATGATGTTTCTCTCTCATCGATGTTTCTATCTCTCTTTCCCTTCCCCTTCCTCTCTCTCAAAAAAAAAAAAATCAATAAAAAACACCTCAAAGTTCCACTAAATAAACATTTAAGCCGGAACCGGATTGGCTCAGTGGATAGAGCGTCGGCCTTCGGACTGAAAGGTCCCAGGTTCGATTCGGTCAAGGGCATGTACCTTGGTTGCAGGCACATCCCCAGTCGGGGGTGTGCAGGAGGCAGCTGGTCGATGTTTCTCTCTCATCGATGTTTCTGACTCTCTATCCCTCTCCCTTCCTCTCTGTAAAAAATCAATAAAATATATTTTTAAAAAAACATTTAAAAAATATATATGTATATATAATCAAATTAATGAACTGTAGAATATCCAAACAAAAGAAGACTGTACATATGTAAAGAAAACAAAGGCACTACAACTACTTTCAACATCATAAATTAATCTCACAAGGTTGAGAAAAAGAAGCATGACACAGCCCTGCCAGTCTGGCTTAATTGGTTGGGAGTCGTCCTGTGCACCAAAAGGTTGGTGGTTCAATTCCCAGTCGGGAGGCAGCCAATCAATGTTCGCTCTCACATCAATGTTTCTCTCTCCCTCTCCCTTCCACTCTCTCTAAAAATCAATTAAAAATCTTTCAAAAAGAAAAAGAAGCATGACATAAAATATTCAACAGAATGACTTCATATTTCTAAGTTCAAAATGAAGCAAAATTATATAGTTTAGGGATGCATATATACATGATAAAAGTATAAAGTGAATGATTATCACAAAAGTCAGATTAAAAGGTACCTTTAAAAGGAAAGAAAGGATACTGTAGGGCAGTGGTTCTCAACCTTCTGGCCCTTTCAATACAGTTCCTCATGTTGTGACCCAACCATAAAATTATTTTCGTTGCTACTTCATAACTGTAATGTTGCTACTGTCATGAATCCTAATGTAAATATCTGATATGCAGGATGGTCTTAGGCGACCCCTGTGAAAGGGTCATTCGACCGCCAAAGGGGTTGTGACCCACACACAGGTCGAGAACCGCTGCTGTGGGGGAAGAGGGGGTACTGATTGAGAGCTGATAATGGGAAATCTTTTTGAGTCATGGAAATGTACTATTTCTTTATCTGGGTGTCAGTTACACATATATAAACTTTATAATTAATCATTTGAAACTCTGCTTACATGTTCCAGGCACCTCTGTGGATGTATATTCTATTTCATGATTGAGAATGTTTAAAAAAATATACAAAGAAAAATGGCCGGCATGGCTCAGTGGTTGAGCATCAACCTATGAACCAGGAAGTCACTGTTCCATTCCCTGTCAGGGCACATGCCCAGGTTGGGGGCTCCATCCCCAGTGTGGATCGTTCAGGAGGCAGCTGATCAGTGATTCTCTCTCATCATTGATGTTTCCTTCTCTCTCTCTCCCTCTCCCTTCCTCTCTGAAATCAACAAAACATATATTTTTTTAAAAAATCGTATTCCGCCGAGACCGGTTTGGCTCAGTGGATAGAGCCTGCGGACTGAAGGGTCCCGGGTTCGATTCCGGTCAAGGGCATGTACCTGGGTTGCGGGCACATCCCCAGTGGGAGGTGTGCAGGAGGCAGCTGATCGATGTTTCTCTCTCATCGATGTTTCTAACTCCCTATCCCTCTCCCTTCCTCTCTGTAAAAAATCAATAAATATATATATATATTTTAAAAATCGTATTCCTTAAAACAGTTTGGGGGTGGGGGGTGGTAAACTGGCAATCTCGTTTTTCAGGGCAGAACCGAGTTTTGGCAAACGGAGATTCTGCGAACGGGCCACCGTGACACCTATAAACCCCCTGGTTTCCCGGCTGGAGAGGTCGGGGCGCGGCCCAACCCGGAGACTCCACACGGTGTCCCCGCCGCCACCGCTCCCCCGGCCCGCGCCCTCTGGGCAGTGCTCGGTCTCCCCGAAATGCCCGTTTGCCTCGGGAGAGAAAGGAAGGAGCTGCCGTCCGGGTTCCTCAGGCACAGGAAGTGGCTGTTTGTTCCTGACAGCCTGTGGCGGGGTGGGACCCGGTGTCCGCTGTCCCGGAACTTGAAACGCCGGATTTCACCCCTGGGCACGGCGTCATTGCCGAGGACTGTGAAGCACGGGACTTGCAGTCGCTCACAGTCAGATGCGATGAGCACGGGGGCTACAGCCAGCTTTCCGGGCTCCGAGGGAAGAAAAAGGAGGCACCTCTGCGGCCTCTCTGATCCCTCAGTTCCGCAGAAGCCGCGGGGGCGGACAGGAAGCCCGACCTGTTACACCCCCGCGGGGTGGCGCCCGGCCCCACACCCCCCAAAATCTAGGAGCGTTTCCGGGCTCCCGAGGGCGGGCCAAGTCGTCCTCACCCTGGCCTGGCGGCCTGGCCTCTCCGGTCCCGTCAGTTAGGCGACAACGAGGGTCAATCAAGAAGCTTCCACTGAGAAGCCTAGTGACGCTCTCGGGCCCCTTTAGGCTCTCGGGCCCCTTTAGACCTCGAGGCCTGCTCGCTCCACGCAACTGGGTTCCTCTGCGCATGCGCCACGCTCTTCCCGCCCCTCCTCTCCTCGCGAGACTCCCACGTGACTAGCAGCCAATGCTGCCCCCCCTCGTCCTTTTCAGCTCCCGCCCTCAGTCCACGCATGCGCATGTGCTTCTCTTGCTTATGGGTCGGTGATGCACACGCGTGCACGCACGCACGCACGCACGCACACACAGAATGGAGTATTATTCAGCCATAAAAAAGAAGGAAATCCTACCATTTGCGACATGGATGGAGCTGGAAGGCCTTGTACCAGGTGCAATTAGACAGAAAAAGACTAGCCAGTGGTTAGAACGGCAGCCGCGCCCCAAGGGTCACAGGTTCAATTCCCTGTCAGGGGCAGGTGCCTGGGTTGTGGGTTCTGGGAGGTAGGCAACCGGTCTGTGGTGTGTGTGTGTGTGTGTGTGTGTGTATGTGTGTGTGTCTGTCTCCCCTCCCTTGACTCCCTCTGAAAAACAGTGGAAAAAATATCCTCAGGTGAGGATTAATAAACAAAACAAAAAAAAAGAGGGGAAAAAAGTCATTCATACGTGAACAATTTTTTAAAATTTTTAATAATAATCATAGTAACAGAGTAGAATGGTGGTTGCCAGGGGCTGGAAATGGGGAGATGTAGGTGAAAGGATATAAACTTTCAGTTAAGAAGAATAAATTCTAAGGATCTGATTTATATCATGGTGCTTATACTTAACTAGAGGCCTGATGCACGAAATCTGTGCAAGGGGCTCGGCCCTCGAATCCCTGGCTTCGTCCGGAAGGACATCCAGAAGGTCGTTCAGCTGTCCAGTCTAATTTGCATATCATGCTTTTATTATTATAGATAGTACAGTATTATATACTGGAAAGTTGCTAAAAGTAGATCTTTTTAAAAATATATATATATATTTCTTTATTGATTTCAGAGAGGAAGGGAGAAGGAGAGAGAGATAGAAACATCAATGATGAGAGAGAACCATTGATCGGCTGCCTCCTGCACACCCCCTACTGGGGAACGAGCCCACAACCCAGGCATGTGCCCTCGGCCGGAATCGAACCTGGGACCCTTCAGTCCTCAGGCTGACGCTCTATCCACTGAGCCAAGCCGGCTAGGGCAAAAAGTAGATCTTCAGTGTTGTCACCAGACACACAAACTATATGAGATGGTGAACCTGTTAATTATTTTAAGTTTGGTAATCATTCCACGATGTGTATGTTTATCAAATCATCATGTTGTACACTTTATATAATTACATTTGTCAGTTATTCCCCTTGAGGAGGGGAAGCCTAGCATTAAAAATCAAAATACTGCCAATATGAATTGATTTTTTTATAAGAAAATAAATTGCATTTCAAGCCTTAAAAAAAAAAAAAGATAGCAGGTTAGATCTCTCAGAAGAGAGAAAGGGTGCAGTATTCTAAGAGGGGCTGGTTTCCCAGGGCTTGGGTGGATGTCGTGATGGTAGGAACATCCCTAGTTTACGTTGGAAATCTGTGAGGACTTAGGATTTGACAGGATCGGGGAGCCTGTGGGGTGTCAGGGGAGACTTCAGAGGCTGCTAAGCATGCAGCTCAAGCCCAGAGAGATCAGCTGCTGCAAACCTGAATCCAAATGCCAAGGTCCCAGGCTCAACCCTGGCTCCTCTGGGGCCTCCTCCTCTAGGGGCCCCGCTGCAGAGGCAGGAAGTACTGCCTGAGGCTCAGCTTCCGCTCTGGGTGTTTGGCACTGCCCAGCCACCTCTCTCACTCCCACGGACCTTCCCCGTTGGGGCCTGCAACACTTTCACTTCCCTCAGGTGCCCAGCCTCTGCCCCAGCACAGGGGTGCACCTGGTCTACCCTTGTTGCCAAAACAGGATGCAGACTCTGAGAAAGGGGCCGTGACAGAAGCGGGAGAGTGCTCGATAGAGAAAGGACAGGCGTGCAGAGAGAAGGTGCCAGAAATCCAGAGAGGGAGAGGACAGAGACTCCGAGGTTGGGGGAGACAGAAACCCAGAGTGAGGGGGACAGACATTCAGAGGAAGACAAAAGTCTCAGAGAGTTCCCCGCCGGCGGCGTGGCTCAGTGATTGAGCATCTACCCATGAACTAGGACAGTGGTCGGCAAACTCATTAGTCAACAGAGCCAAATATCAACAGTACTTCTTCAAAATAGACTCGCCCAAGCCGAAAACCGACTTCTGCACATGGGCCACGAAGTTTCGATCGCACTGTACTTGCACACCCGCACGTGGTATTTTGTGGAAGAGCCGCACTCAAGGGGCCAAAGAGCCGCATGTGGCTCGCGAGCCGCAGTTTGCCGACCACGGAACTCGGAGATCACAGTTTGATTCCTGGTCAGGGCTCCATCCCCAGTGGGGGCCGATGGGGCCGATGGGTGATTCTCTCTCATCATTGATATTTCTATCTCTCCCTCTCTGAAATCAATAAAAATATTTTTTTAACTCAGAGAGAAAAACACACACACACACCAAAAAAAGGGAGGGGGAGGGGATCTACAAAATAAAAAGACTCAGAGAGAAGGAAACAGACCCAGAGAGGGAAGGACACGGGACCCAAGGCTGGGAAGTGGGGACAGAGACGGATGCAGAGATGGCAGAGCTCAGCAGGCAGTGAGGTCAGAGTGTCTGTGAGGTCGGCTGCTGACCGGGGCCAGCCTGGGGGCCTGGTGCCCAGAGTAAGTGGGTACAAGTGGATCAGGAGTCCCTGTGGGTCCCCCAGCCTGCGCCATGGACACCTGGGAGGAAGGGCCTAGCGTGTCCTTGGTGTCCACAAATTCCAAGGCCCCTCAGGTACTGGTGTGTGTGTGGGTCCCGGTGGGGCGGGTGAGGGAGCCAGGGACGGAGACAGAATAAAACCACTTTGTGTGTATAGGGTGAGGCTCCACCCCTGGCACTTCCTCTTTCTCTGTGTTCTTCCTTTCTGTCTGTCTCAGCCTCTCCCCTCCTCGTTCAAGGCTTCTGCCTCCCCGTCTCCCCACTGCCAACTCCTCTTCTGGTCACTCAACCCTCCAGGCCACGATGTCGGCCAGGACAGCTGCCTCAGCCTCATCAAGTACCTCCTCTTCGTCTTCAACCTCTTCTTTTTCGTAAGTTGTCTCATGGCTCTCCAGCCCGGGCCCCGGGCCCCCGCCGTCGCCGCCCCACCCCACCCCACCTCGTATCCCCACTTGCCCACCACCACCTTCTCTCCTCTCCTCTCCGAAGGTCCTAGGCAGCCTGATTTTCTGCTTCGGGATCTGGATACTCGTGGACAAGACCAGCTTCGTGTCATTTGTGGGTGAGGGGGCCAGGGCGGTCGGGGCGGGCCTTCCTGGAACAGCATGGATCCGACCTCCCAGCAAGTAGCCTCCTGGGGCCTCCCTTGCCCCAGGGAGCCCCTCAGTCCCATTCTGCAGGCAGGTCCCGGGCTCTGCAAAGCTTGCCACTGCCATGCCGCTCCAAGCCTCAGTGTGTTCCTCTGACAAACAGTTGTGCGGACGGACCACTCAGAACAATAATAGTCATTTCTTAGGCACTTCCTATGGGTCAGACCTTGTGCAAACGCCCATCAGATCCTCCCACAAACCTTTCCTGAGGTTCAGAGAGGGGGAGTCACTTACTGGATGTCACACAGCAAGGAAGTAACACAGATATAACACTAATAATAATAATAATAATAATAATAATGGGGTAATAGCCAAACTCCTCATGGTTCCTAGTTCATGTGTTTGCCCTGGGTTGAGGACTGGATTGAACACGTAGCTCCCAGGTCCCTCAAAGCAACCCCAGGAAATAGATAGCATTACCGCTAGGCCGCAGGGAGGTTAAAGTGACTCATCCGATGTTGGCAGAACAAGTGATGGGGCTGAAACCACGGGGAGTGGGAAGGAGCTGGAGGAGGAGAGAGACTGAGAGCGAGAAGGAGAGGCTGAGAGCTGAAGGGAGGAAGGAGGACAGAGGCTCAGAGAGAGAAGAGAATCCCAGAGGAGAGGGACAGAGGCTCAGGGTGGGGCAGGGCCGGAGGCCCAGAGAAAGGGGTGCCCAGGAGCCCAGAAAGAAGCCCCCAGGACACTGCTCCCTCCGGCGTGGGTGGGGATGGGGCTGGGGGCTGCCTGGCGCTGTGCACATCAGACTCAGTGTGGCTGCCTCTCCTCCCCTAGGCTTGTCCTTCATGCCCCTGCAGATCTGGTCCAAGGCGCTGGCCATCTCAGGGGTCCTCACCATGGGCCTGGCCCTGCTGGGCTGCGTGGGGGCCCTGAAGGAGCTGCGCTGCCTCCTAGGCCTGGTGAGTGCCCGCCCGGCCGCTCTCCATCCCTAGGACCCCTCCCCCCTCCCCTGGGCAGGGGCTCAGCCTGACCTCTCCACTCTGCCCCCCAGTATTTTGGGATGCTGCTGCTCCTGTTTGTCACCCAGATCACCCTGGGGTATCCTTCATCCTCCACTCAGAAAAATCCCGGGTAAGCTT